TCCTGGATGGCTCCTTCCCACCTCAAACAAGGACTTTTCACCCCAAAAAAAGCCTCTCTGCCCTAGATCTTGCCTTTGCCACCCCAAAAGCCTTCCCAGAGAGCTCACAAGTGCTGCCTCCAGCTCCAAAAGCAACCCCACGTACCCGGCCCGGTCCTGGCGGATGCGTTGGAATTTTCTGACATGCTTCTGCCTGGAATGATTCTGTTTTCCAAGGATGGGCTCCTCAGGGCTTTTGGAGAGGAGGGAAACAGCAGCAGAGGGAAGGAAGAGACCTCCTGTGTGTGCTGAAGCCCGTCAGTGCTCCAAAGGAGGGGTGGTGGAGGGTGCAGCCCTGTGGGTTTTGACGGCGCGGGTTTGAGTCTCTCGGGTTACACAAGGGACAGAGAGGTGCCTGTGCTGGGGTTTGGGGCTGCATCCAAAGGGTGTCATCTGTCCCTGAGAAACCCAGGGGGAGAGCTTCCTCCGCTCCCCGCCAACACAACGTGGCCATTCAGCCACAGAAAGCTCCTCCCTGGCCTCCAAAAGGAAAAGAGAGGGGAATAAAAGAGAGAAAAGAACGGCGTGGAACAGATCCGCGGCGAGATTGGACGCGCACAAAAACCAAGATTTCCAACAGAAGTGAGAAGCAAGGCAGTGCCCAGCGCTGAAATCTCAGTGCACAGAGCACTCTGGAAGGCTCAAGGTCATGCCTTTGTCCCTGTCACCCCCAAAGAGCTGCAGTGTTTGGAAAAAAACCAGCCCAAAGCCAGGAACAAAGGCGCGCTTTGCACACGTGAATTCCCCCGAGCTCCCCGTGGGGCTGAGAACCAAACCTGGCGTTTCAAACCCAAACCAAGGCAGCTTTCAGCTCAGTTCAGGGCTGCTTTCACCCCCACTAATGCAGCTTTGAGGCTCCAGAGCTTGCCTGGCTCTTTAGGGGAGAATAATCTGGGAATAAAGTCATAAATGACTGGTTTTATTGGGAGAAATTATTTGAAAATCTTGGTTTTGGTGTGAAAATAAAAATAAATTAGGTTTTCATTAGTCTGAACAACGCTCCTCCCTGGCCTCCAAAAGGAAAAGAGAGGGGAATAAAAGAACGGCGTGGAACAGATCCGCGGCGAGATTGGACGCGCACAAAAACCAAGATTTCCAACAGAAGTGAGAAGCAAGGCAGTGCCCAGCGCTGAAACCTCAGTGCACAGAGCACTCTGGAAGGCTCAAGGTCATCCCTTTGTCCCTGTCACCCCCAAAGAGCTGCAGTGTTTGGAAAAAAACCAGCCCAAAGCCAGGAACAAAGGCGCGCTTTGCACACGTGAATTCCCCCGAGCTCCCCGTGGGGCTGAGAACCAAACCTGGCGTTTCAAACCCAAACCAAGGCAGCTTTCAGCTCAGTTCAGGGCTGCTTTCACCCCCACTAATGCAGCTTTGAGGCTCCAGAGCTTGCCTGGCTCTTTAGGGGAGAATAATCTGGGAATAAAGTCATAAATGACTGGTTTTATTGGGAGAAATTATTTGAAAATCTTGGTTTTGGTGGGAAAATAAAAATAAATTAGGCCCTCATTAGTCTGAACAAGATAAAGTCTTCAAAATACCAATGTTTAGTGCTGGTGAAATCAATGGAAACACAAGGAATGAGCTTGGTTTTTTCCTGTCTTGGAGTGTTTAGGCAGAAATTTAAATTATATAAAGATAAAAGAGCTCAAGTTGTGACCTAAAAGTGAAATAAAAGTGCCAGAAATGATCCATAAATCTTCCCAGATCAGTCTAGCCTGGATTTCTTAGCTCAGAGAGCTTCCAGTAACAAAATCCAATAACAAAGAGGGATCTGGAGGATTCCTGCTTGGATTTTTAAATTGAATCTGTGGAGATTCCCAAGGAAAAGCTCCTGGAATTCATCTCCTGCTCTTGGAGTTTTGAACCAACCCATTTTTAACCCGTCCTGCTCCTCCCCAGGTACTCACTTCTTTTGATCTCTTCCAATTTTTCCATGTATTTTGACAAACTATTTCCTGTAACAACAACAAAAAAATCAATTTATTACAATTATTTATTTTCTTCAGGCTTAAATTTTAATTGCTTTGAAGGGAACAGCTTCAGTTTGTTGCAGATCCTCCTTCCCAGGGGCAATAAAAGGCACAAAAATGCCAGGATCTTCCTCTTTTCTCTCAAGGAGAGGAGAATTAAACAGAAAAATCCAAGGATTTGCTGCTCCTTTCCCAGCATTTTGGTGAGGATGCCACAAGATAATGTTGCTGGATAAAATTCAGCTGCTTTAAGAACAAAAAAACCCACAAAGACACCCCAAATAATGATGTTGGCTCACAGACTTGATAAGGTAAAGGAAAAGTCCATGGACAGAAATTCCAGGTCCAGTAATTTCTATGGGAAGCAGCAAAACAGAGCCTGACCCATTTTAAATTTATTTAACATCCAAATTATTCTTTAAAAAACAAGAGGAGAAAAAAAATAAACAAGTTTTAAGGCAATAAAGGCTTCAAAGGTGTGCTCATCTACACACAGAGCATTTAATGTCAATTTTCAGGGGGGGTTCATGGCAGTGTCTGAAGATAAATGTACATAAATACATAAAAATATTTATAAATTGTGTACAAATTGGGATTGTTTTAATTTCAGCTTTGAAGGGAAATGGTAAAAAGGAAATTTTAATAACTTTTATAATAGTAAATAGGAATTTTTTATAATATTTGGAATATTTGCTGAGACAAACCATAGCCACAATAAAGATTCTGCAGTGTTGGGGTGAATTAGCTCCGGGCAGAAGTAATTAAGACACTAATTAAGACATTAATTATATTTTTCTGTCATCCAACCCCAGTTTGGGGTGGTTTTACCCCACAGCATTTCACTTACCAGTATCCAGACGAGTTTTTATGTGTTGATACTTGGGATTCGAGGGGATGCGCCGGGTCAGGAGCTGTTTTAAAACGGAAAAGACAAGCCAAAATTTAAAAAATAAAATTAAAAAAGGAAGAAAAATGAGCAGAAAGCGCGATTTGAAGGGGTTTAAGAGACAGAAAAAGGAGTGAGAAATTCCCGAATGCCCACACCAGTACTAAATTTAAATCCCCGCCGGTTTAAATTCAAATTTAAAAGCCACGAAAGGAGAATTTCTCCGGTTTTCTCCCGTCGCGGCTCCGGGGGCCGCCCGAACCAGCCCGGCTGCCCCGTCCCGTGCTCCCCCGGAGGGTGCTGCGAAGGAAAGGCCCCTCAGGGCACCTGGGGGTCGCCGAAGCCGCCCCGAGCCGACATCTCCCCTCACGGCCGCCGCCCGCTCCGCCCGTCCCGCCCGCGCGGCCGCGCCCCCGCCC